GATGAATTATTTCTCTTAACTTATCTTTTGAATACCACGTATCATCTTCTATTAGTTGAAAAATAACAGAAAATGCGATAATATGATCTGAGGGTGAATCAAGTAAAAAATTATAAATATTTTCATATAATGTGAAAGAAGACATAATGACAAAAAATATAGTGTTAGAATTTCGCTGAAAAAATAATAAGCGACAAATAACTTGAATTCAATACACCTGCCTTTTAAATCTCTGATGACTTCTCCATTCATGTTCTCTCTAACTTGCATTCATATTGGAAAAGAAGAGATAGGAGAAATATGCGAGGCACTTTATGCCAAACTTTTGTGTTAGAGAATAAGACATGTAGAATGTGCATTGTAGATCTCAACATTTACAAAGACGTTAGGGAATATGCATATACATACTTTTTCTTTATTTCACTTGCTCGACCGCTCAGTAATAAAGGTCTAGTAACATTATATAAATATACTCCAGTCAAAATCTAATAGGAATAACCTGTAGCTCCAGAGGGAATAAACTCATAAATAAATGCTATTCATATAGATAGGGAAAAAATTTGAAATATTTTGGGAATATGTGTAAAAATTAATTTATCGCACAAGCATTCATACAGAGTTACAAATGATTTGTGAAGTATCACCTATTACATCATATATACTTTAACGAGGATCGCAAAATATATTTATTGTGTATTTTATTAAGATACAGTATTATTCAGGATCTGGGTCAAGGACTGATCTGAAAAATTCAGCGTACAAACTCACAATTATCATTCAAATCTGAGAAATTTACGGTAATATCTTTCCTGTTAATATGATATATGTATTTTAATGGTGAATCGCATATAGGTTTTACCATTCCTGATGATTTACTCTTATATGCCTCGTATTCTGAAATTCTGATGAGGAATTCATAATTATATGTTTTATGAATACTATAATATTCAGGATCCCATGGCCATTTTAACATGTCAAGCCAATATGTATCTCTAACAACCATATAGCCTTGCTAATATAATAATTTCCTAACAAGTATGTGTATCACAAAATCTAATCGTTTCCATAATTGGACTCTCTTCTCAAACATTCAATTATTTCTTACTGGATAACAATGTCCCTCATATCCATAACAAATATATCCTGGTTGTATTGATTCATTATTTATACCTAGATACTTTCATCTATCAGGAGTACCATCATTCCTCACCGTCTCTCAAACTCTTTTTGCCAAAGATTCAGGTCTTTTCTTGTAATTCCTGTAAGCTCGCTGGATAACTGTTGCATAGAAATTTTTAAAGCCATAATGATAGTAGTATTTAGGAATCAAGAATCTCTAAGATCGCTCTATTGAACTTTCTAAACTTCTCAAAGAAAACTTCGTTATAGATTAGAGAGTCTAACCTAGAATAGGCAGATCATTTTTATTCCGCAAGTGGTACATTTCACTAGGCGATCATGCATGCAGATTATATAGCCAAAATAAAATAAGTTATACATCATACCTTTGGCTAAATATAGTTGAGATAAATAATGTTATTATTCAGTTGAGAGATATTAACTTTATCTCCTATTTGCATTATTTCGAACAGAATTAAAATATTCCTCAGCATCAATCAAGATACAGCTTCTCTCAAATCTATAGACTGAAATTTCAGGTGCACTTGCATTATGTCGCATAGGATATCTCTCAAGACCACCCATTAATGCAATAGGCTTTGGTGGCAAAGGAGGAGGGGTCAATGAACGTGACTTATCTGTCCTATAGGAATAGTATCTCTGATATTGAACAGGAGAAGAGGTTAAGAAGGTATTATCCATACAGATATTTTTTGCTGGTTATGAAGATAGTAAGGCTTGCTATACGTAGTATTTACATTACTTTGCATCTTATGCTTTTGCCTGATATGTCGAATCCTATTTGATACATTTTCCAGCCACATCTCATATTGACGGATTGCCTTCTTTGTGAAATAGCAAGGTGGTGGATTATTTTTCAGCTTCATGTAGTCTTCAAAACTCATATCACAATATTCGTTTCTGGTACAATTTGTACGCCAATGCTTATTCATAAAGAATGCATGGAAATACTCGTATCCACTTCTTAATTTGGAATAGACAAGTTGATTGCAAGAATAGCATATTCCTATGTTTACTCTGAACCAAACATCACCTGAATATAAATATCTTAGTTTTCTGGCGATAAGATATCTCTTATTAGTATCAGTCATAAGATTATTTTTTCTATATTCCATTAATGTGTCTCAGATTCGTTTTTTCTAATCGGATAGAGTCTCATTCCCACACATCCTAGGAAAATCATAGTTAACATACGAATCAGTTATACTAAATGTACAAGGGGATCAGAATATACCATATTTAACGATTTTAGCGATTAAGAGATTTATAGCGTTTTTGGTGAATTATAACGATTTATAGCAATTTGTATCAAGTATATATAGTAAAATATCAGATTCATTTTTATTCGACTACAAGCATATCGGGATTACTAATTTTATGTTTACATGCAGTTTGTGAATCTCTCATGATTAATAGGGATTAGTCAGAGGCGTTGCATTTGATGTATAACATAAAAATTTGTATCACCTTGACTCCTAGACAGTTCCTGGCACTTTCTCATAACCTTCCCACAACTTAAATCATGAGGATCAACCAATCAGATTTTGCGCAGTAACTAAGCCACCATTATTTTTTCGATCGTTATATTAATCATTAATCATTACAAAAATTAAAGCGCTGACTGCACACGAAACTAAATTAGTCTTACTCAGTCCTTACTGATTCGCTGACTCACTCCAATTATGTCCTATATAAGCAAGTCTTTTTAGCTCTTTCTCCCTCCATAAAATTTAAAATGTCTACACAGTGAGGTGAGAAACAAACTCGAATGCTTATTGATGAACGTAAAAATAGGAATGAAGAATACCACTGAACTCCGAACTGTAATAAGAGAAACTTTTGGAAAGATATTGCAAATAAAATCAACTGAGCAAATAATACCAATTACTTCACAGGGGAAGATTGTAATAAGAAATTCTTAGCTCTAACTTAAGCATACTATGTAAGTAATAAGATAATCGAGCAGTTAGAGATATTTTGCTTATACTTAACCCGATTCTGATCTGATATTTTTGGTAAATATAGATGACCTTGGCTTATAAGAAAGCTAAGATGGAAGCTGAGAGTCTCTTAAGAAACTAACTATCAACTAATGAGGGATCTGAGGCAGAAGCGGAAGGTTCACCAACTACTGTAGTAACTAAAAAGAAGAAGAGAAGTCTTATTGGAGAAAAATATTATGAAGAGTTTTTTACGGAATTTTGGAAAGAACCTGGTATTTGTTTTTCTGATATTTGTGTTTACTTTAGTAAATCCAGGATATTCTCCTTAAAATATTTATTGTTTCTAAGATCACAATATTCTATGACGCCATCAACACTCTCAACACTTGGTCCTCTTGAAATCAGATCTGATACTTCTTCCTCTTCACATAAATAAACCAAATCATCAAGACCTGTAACACCTTCTACTGAGACTCCCGTAGTCTCTAGACCTGTCACTCTAACACTCCCCTCTTTTTTACAAAGTGCGAACGTCATTAATGTTACCATCAATAACAATTATGGTGGAGTAACAGATGGGTGAGATGAATAGGATGTTTTTTAATGTAGAATAGATGCATCAATAGCAAATTTAGACTAGCTATTATTTTCATAATTGTAAATAATACTTAATTGTTTTATACCGTCACTTTTATGGGTGGTAGATAATATGTTAGTATATATGTATTGCGAAGTTCCTTAGGACCCGATCAGTATATAATAAAACTTTGCAAAACACATTTAAAAATGAAAAGTACTTTTATTGTAATTGGCTGGCCAAGCCGAAAAAGCTAAATGCTTGAATGTTCAGACATAATGAGAGTTTGACATATAAGATTTGTTATCTCTCCATTTGCTACAAATTTATCTACAGTCAACTCTTGTTATAACGAACTCTATGTCCTAGACCTCAACTTCGCTATAAGACTATAGTGAAGATTTTAAAAGATTTTATTGGCCAATTCGCTATAATAAGAGTATTTTTATTATATTTGTTCAAAAAATTCGTTATATCAAGAGTTCGCTATATCAAGAGTTGACTGTATTATATTCTTAATTATCAATTATGAGAAAAAAAAAAGATCACACAGACTAAAAATGACTACTGAAGGGAAGAATTAATGACATATTTACAAATTTATCTAGTATGGTTTATATTAAATATAAAACTCACATGCTAAGAGTTTCTATTGAAGGGAAGTATGACATATCGTTGTACATACAACATAAAGATATAAAGACATAAAAAGACATAAAAAAGACATAATAAAACACTTGAGGTGTTTCGCATATTCATGGTGCTCCAGGCTTTGGTAATTTTGATTTTATAAAGTTGATATCGTCTTCATTAAAAGTCGAGAGCTGGTCTACAGAAAATGAACGAACAAATTGAATTCTAGATGGATCATCAATAAAAAGTTTAACCATTTTTCTAGCCTTTTTAATTTTATCTTTTGCCACAGCTAGAGAAGTGCCAGGTGGTAAATAACTCTGAACCTCTTTATTTAATGCATGTTGTGCTCTCTTTTGCTCTTTCCCTATTAATTCATTGAGACGAAGGGTTAGTGCTAAGCCAAATTCGTAATAGCAATAGATGGCATTGGAATCGGCCTTGCTAACTCTTCAAGATAATTTTCGTAGAATCACTGAGGGCTGGTCCTGAGGGATTACTTCTGATGAATTGCTATCAATTTCCATCACTTCAGTTGACACTTCATGTATAAAAGCTAACAATCTTTCTTCTTTACTCATATTTTTCCAACCGAGTTGTTCAAGCTGTTCGATAACATTGCTTCGGCACTCTGAACATCGTTCTTTGCGGACTGAAGATGCATTGCAACAACTAATGTGAAAAGTATACCCACATTGGAACATTGCATGTGAGTTTATAATTTCCCTTTTGCAATCCAAACAAGGTTCAGCTCTCTGGGAAGGTTCAGAGAAAAGATTGGGAGCCACTCTATGACCCAAACTCATTAGAAATAATGTGATCGATTCCTAGGACGTCATTAAGGTGAAAAGATTCTATGTTTGTATATTTATACTTACAGTACCATGGTAAGGGGTAAATTGATAAGCCAAGTTGCATATTATGTCATATGATAATCATGAAGAGTCTTCACGCTCGCAACCAATAAGAAACTTAATTTTTTGGCACATTTCCTCTGATGAACCGATCATAATAAAAAAAGGGAGAATTAATACATGTATACCCGCCGATATATGCTGTGTCATATGATAATCGTGAAGATTCTTCACACGTCCAGCCAATAGAATCGGGATCTACCATACTGCGCATTTATTTGGGTCAAAAACTTTGTGAATTGGTACGATACACATAAGTTAAAAAGATACATATAATTATATAAAGCCCAAAGTGTGGACAAACTAATTAATGCTTTATTGATTTTGCATATGATTAATCCGATAGCACAACTAGATTGTTTAGACTGTTTAATAATTATACATATAAAGAAAAGCACGAACTATATTACTTTCAAAATATTTAATATCATAGCTAAAAAGACAGATTCTGTCGTTCTGATTTCTTTTTTGGGGTCGGCTTTGTGTAGTCATCTTCATCATCAGACGATTCTTGTGAATTGTTAGCCTCATATCGGCTCTTTAAGTTATCCCAAACCTGATTTGCAGAGACAACCCTTTCTCTGAATGCCCACATCATCCGCAAAACAAGGGCAAGTTCAGTAATATCATTGTGTGAAAATTTCATAGTCCCAATTTTTCGAAATTTCTCGGAGTAGCTTATAAAAATCTTCAGCTGTCTTCCTCCTATCTTGGTCATGTGGAGCAAAAGATATTTCCAAGACAAAACATTCACGTCCATCATTTGACAGTCCCGTTCCATCCCCCTTATGACCTGGTGAAACTTTTGGAAGAGTAAGAATATCACGGCCACCATCTTTTCTTAATGCCGTTGAATCTAACACGATCTCTCCCCATGTATATTCCATATCTCCATCGCGTATTGCTTTTCCCATTATGAAACTCATTATTGTATTCCACATGGCCTCTGTGGTTGAAGGATGTGATATGACATTTCTTTTACTTGTGAATTCACTAATAAAAATATGGATAACAAGTAATGCATACTGTTCAAACAGGTAACTTTCTCCTTTACTTATAGATACCCACACTTGCGCAAACTTCTGCAACAAAGACTGCTTATCATTTTTGGTCTTTTGTAAATCAGGTTTAAGTCTCTCCAATAAACCTTCTTCTGCAAGATGTAGCCGATTGCCTCGGATTTGTTTCCAGTCTGATTTCGAACAAAGAGATTTAAGTACATTATTATGAAAGGTTTTCACAATGCAATCATGCTCCACACTCCATGGATGCAGGTCAATCTCGTGCAAATACTTGTTCCATATATTAGTGAAGTTCTCGCCGGATTTAAGGATACATGGCAATGTTTGTTGTGGGTGCTCTGTCATTACTGGATCTTGTGTAGATGACATAGGGCTTCGCTCATTTTTAGAAGTTGAAATGACTTCAGAGCTAAGGAAATTTGAAGAGTTAGAAAAACCACCCGATGTAGATGGATCAGAAAATTTTTCGTCAACTATTTCATAATCCTTTTCATCACTGGACGATTTTTCATTCGGTACAAAAAAATTGTCTACAACTGTAACTTTCTTCTGTTTTCGGGCGGGTAGGAAGACTTTCGCTTCAAAGCTATTAATTCAAGAAAAGATTAAATACACAATTCGACACATGATGTAAAATGAACTTGATTGTATTACCTGATGTTATGGCTATTTCTGATCGGAGACCGGCAAATTTGTTGTCAATCATTGAAACAGCAACCTCTGATCCAAACAGATCAGTCTTAGTGTTAAATATAGATTCATTGGCCTATAAATTGGTTAGTTTCTGTATGTAGACCAAAATACCAAATAATATCAAACTAACATTTTTACCTTTTCATCCATTTTGTTAAAAAAAATTATAACCTCTTTGTATCCAAATTGTTTTTCTATATTTTTAAAAAGACTTTCCGCTTTATTTTGAACTCTTTTGCCGACTAACTTGTTGTTTTTTATTAATAAACACTGATTTTTGCATTCATCCTTGATTTCTTCACGATGCTGAGAAGTGATCCATGTATATTGTTTTGACAGATAATCGAGGCAATCAATAACGGACCATTGTTTGTAGTCTGTTTCTTGTAAATAAGCGCCAATCGAACTTGAAATGTCCATCCTTAAGAAAGAAATGTAAGAAACATCGTTAGTATCAATTATTCGGGGGAAATTTAAGTATTAAAAGTACAGGTATTGACTAAATGGTTTTCTGGAAAGGAGGGCGTCAAGATCAAATCGTTAGGCTATCCTAACGAGGACTTGCTCGCTCTCTCTCCAAACATCGATCGAAGAAGTCCATCATAAATGGAATGGTTCTAACGCATCGTAGGAAACATTAGTCCAATATACTGGAGGCGGATGTCAAACTCAAGTTGTTAGGCTACCCTAACAAGGACTTTGCTCAATCTTTCTCCAAACATCGACCGAAGGAGGTCCACATAAATGGAATAGGTCCAACGCGTCGTAGGATATTGTGAAATACCATCAATGCAATCAGTCTCAAATACCTTCCTAAATCTAATGTGCGTTATGCGCTGTTATTTCTGGAATAAAATAGAGTATAACTACCTTCTTTTTGGAAATGAGTGTGCAACAATAAGTTTTGGCTTTAACTGTCTTCCTTACGATATCGATATGTCGTACAGAATTTGAAACCCCGAATCTGAGGCGCGTTTAACCCCCAATCGATATCCCTGTTTTTCGACTTCACGTCATACAAATGAAAATTATGCGAATATCACTACCGGATTAATTATTTATTGATCTAACCCCAAAATATCTGACGGCATTTCATAAGACTTCATTGTTACACCTCCTAAGTCGGCAAGAATTTCTCTGATATCGTACTGCGCATTTCAGGTGATCGTCTCTCACATGACTGAACTATGCTACGATTGCGAAACTTGAGTTTATTGCAGTGTTGCAGGTAAGATATTCCAACTTATCTTGGGAATACAACTTCGCTAATTCAGGATCATAAGGGAGCTGATTCCCATTTTCGCAGTACTATGAGCCATGTAATCCATAATTCCCATGTTTTCCATCACAAATAGGACATGGCGAGCTCCACGGCTGAGGTGATGCAAAAATATAATTATCAATCCCTCTAAAACTATTTCGGAATTTCAAGTATGGGAAGAAAGTTATAGGCACTTTTTCTGGCTTCGAATTTATAACTTCCGATTCATGTACTTCTGTTAGTTGCCATGGCTCATTTCCAGTTTGTTTTTTATATCTTTTATATAATTTGGAACGAATCTTATTTGTCAAAATACTTGGTAATCCAATTAATTTGGTATGCCAATCCAGATATTCAGCGGTTAGTATTTTATCAGACTCAGTCATTTTCCTTTTTATATGATTGCAAACAATTTAAATCCCCGCCCTCTTGTTCAAGAACTGCGGGGTGAAAGGGTCGAAAAAAGAAAATCTATCTGTTAAGAAATGTATCACTTTTCTCCCACCCTGGGTTCGCTATGCTAACGAGGAGGTAAGGCTATGCAGTTATCTCAATTTCACGCTGTTCACATTTAATAAAGTAAGATCTGGCTTTATATTCACCTTCTATCTCTTCATCATCATGATCTAATTTGCATAATGGGCAGATGTAGTCCCCGCATGATGTCTCATCAGTAATCCCATAATAATTGAAATTTTCACAA